AAGCATTCTTCGATGAGTGTGAAGCTGGAACTCGACATGGAACAGTGCCACGAATTCTAAGAAAGAGCAAAAGACAAAACTGTTCAAGAAAACACCAGAGGCGTTTTAGACGGGGCGCTTGTGTGATGGCTGCATTATCGGATAACACATAATTGTAAGAACGTAGTTACCGTACTTAAAGGGACTGTAACCAGCGAACAATTTGCAACCAGTCGTTGTTACAAACTTAACAACTTAGGAAGATACGGTTTTCGTAGATCAAGAGAATGTTTTTGAGGAAGAGTCGCGGTGAGATTTTCTATCTCACCCTGTTTCAACCTATCAATACTGGCTGTCTCCCAGGTCACTAAGGAGGCTTTTTTGTAAACATGCTTTATTTTTGTATCCTATGAACGTGAGGATCATATTTATTACAGTGCGATTACGTGCATGCTATTCAAATGTCACCTCAGTACTGATCGTCAGTAACTTCAGATTATACGTCGATATATGGGAAATGAATCTAAAGATTCTCTTCAGTCACCTTCTGCATTCAAAATGAATTTGCAAATTCGCCGTATATTTTGAATCTGGCGTTAGTGACATACCTATATATTAAATATTATCCGAGTCAGAGATCTCCGAAGTGCGCAAACCCCTTTCTCTTTTAAAAGGAGATTATATAACTGACCCTGATGACTCGGTCATCAGTCACGGGAGTGAACATTATGGCAGCATCACCCATCAAGAGGCACTCATTTGAGTCTTTCAGATCAGAAGAGTGGACAGTTTATCAAGTTTGAATGCAACAATGATGTCTTGTTCATTCAGCCCGGTTTTTGTTTAGTACTTACTTAAAAAATAAACATATTTAAACTTTTAATAATGAAAACGTTTAGGAAAGGAAAAAATCCATCCAGGGCCGGGTTGTTCAAAGCTGGATCAAGATAACCCAGGGTAAGCGCGAAGTTTGAATTCAGATATGAAAGCTTAAAAAGGAAATTCAGTTTAATTCTTTTTGTCTACAATTTGATGATTGACTATTCTAAAAAGATTAGAGAAAATTGTCCGAGAAAATGCTTTTGACGATGAAAAAAAGAGACCCGGGTTAAGATGTAACCTTGGGTTAGCGCTAATCGGCCTTCGAACAACTGGGCCCAGAAGAACAAGTTTCCGTAGTTTTTAGAGTAAGTCAAGTTTGACACTTTTACTTCAACCACATTGAAATGCTTGTTACTTATCAGCTATTTCGAAAAAGGTTGTTGGAAAAAATGTGCACCCGACAATTCCGAAAGGTGATAATGGGATATGATCATTACACTGTTCCTGACGCTGCAACTGTCGAACCTATTTGTGTTGCTTTCCTTTATTTAGTACTCGCAAACATACGACCAATACCCCTCGTGCCATTCTTTCTAACTTCTTTGAAGAACAGTGAACTCAAAACCACCCACAATACCTTTGGGGATTGTCGCGTGCACGTTTTCCGACAACCTTCCTCGAAATAGCTGCCTGCGGAATCGGCTCCTGTAGCTAAATACTTGAGTGCTTCAAAGGGACACCTCGTTCATTTTAAAACTAGATAAGGGGGTTATCGAACCAGATGACTCCTTGGCTAATAAGAGTACTGAGATAAGTGAAAAATCAAAAGTATATGAACTAGCTGATGATTGCGTTCGAGGTACGAGAACGCAACCCCTAATTTGTGTTGGTTGTTCTGAGCATTATTGGGTATCCTGTGCAATTAATAATGGAGGTACTTTTGCTGTACGCAATCCTTACGTTCAAAATATGCCATAATCATTTATAAAATAACTAAGATAGTACGCGCGCTCTGATCGGCCGAGAGCAGTGTTTGCATGAGAGTATGTAAACATGGTTGTGGCGTCAAGTTGTTTGGCTTTTCGCGCGCTAATCACGCAAGCACGAATTTGAAAAAGTTTTCGAGTTCAAAACTCGACAAGTTTACTTTATTTACCCATTCCTTCGTCGGCTGAAACATGGAAAATCGTTACAAAGAAGGCGAGTCAATTTTTCTTCGCTTAAGCTGACATTTTAAGCGAGAAAAATCCGTATTTTGCAAAGCATCTTTTTGCAAAACAAGAGCTGATTACGCGTGCAAGACTTCGTAGACAAGATTTTGCGCCTGGTAAGAATTTATCTTTTAATCAGTGCCACACAAAGAGTTTGGCGTTTTTTTTTCGGGAAAGTTATTTTATAAAAGCAATAGAAAACTTTTGTCCTGTGTTTGCATAGCCTGATATAAACACTCGAGGCGTTGGGAAAATTCTCGACTGTTATGCAAACCCTCGACTTCGTCTCGGGTTTGCATAACTGTCTCGAATTCTCCCAACCCCTCTCGTGTTTATATCAGGCTATGCAAACACGGAAAACGTTTTCTATTGCTTAAATTTATCTATCGCAAGAACCATCCATTCTTCCTTGTCAAGTGCTACCTGTAAGCCTAACAAACATATCGAACACACTCTACTAAGCTCCGATTACTCCTAATTTATTCTTATATTTTATACTGAAACTCATACACAAAAGCATCCAGTCAATTCCCTTTACTTTTAACACTCTCGGGACCGCAAGTAAGAGTCTTTGGTCTTAACTAGCAAGGTATCGTAAAAGAGGGGGAGTTTGTTTGAGTCAATCGTCTTATTTAGTATTGTTGGGGACGTCGCTGTTGTTAGTAATAGTTAGTTATAGCGAGGTTCCTCAGTCACCTTTGAGAGAATTGACTGTGCACCCAGAATGCTATCATTCATTTAAAAATATCTTTAACTGGTGACTGCTAAAGGACGCGGCTCCTCCTGCGTACCTAATTCACGTCCCAAAAGATTTTCAACCTAGCTATTTATATATTTCTTTTGCTGTATTGTAAATTCGAATTCTAAGCTTTTAAATAGGTATTCTCATAGTTTCCTCTAAAATCACTATATATTTTAAGTGTGAATTTTCTTGTAGCTTTCCTCATTGGTTCGGTTTTGTAGTTTGCTACTATTTCTTCAATTAATTTTTTGATGAAGAGCCAATTGTAAGTAGAAAAGGCTAAATACAAAACAATTATGATTATGATTATAGTTTTGCATGTTTTGATTATCGTTATCATTTTCATCATCATCATCATCATCATCATCATCATCGTCGTCGTCGTCGTCCTCATCATCATCATCACTATTATTATTATTATTATTATTATTATTATTATTATTATTATTATGCATACATCACGTTTTTGTCTATACCTAGGCGTGCGGCGGGGAAAACCGACGGTACAGAGAGTACAACTGAAAGTCTCTTCATAGCATAAAAAAGAATGGACATAACCTAATATATAAATTAATTATCTAGTAGATAACGCAAGATTACAAATACAAAATTTTAACATTGCATGGTACTTAGTTTGCTCTATTCAATAAAAAATAGAGCTAATACAGTGATGACTATTGCTATAGGACAAATAGTAGAGTCTGAATATTTCGGATTTTAAAGCTTCCAGTGGACGCTGAATTTAACATGAGCCTGACTTATATGTGAACCGCACGATTAGACCAATGATTAGACAGTCGATCGTCCGTCCCTAACGAAAACGCATTTTGTCTTTCTTAACTGATGCGATTCATTCCCAAATAAACACGTGCGGTGGATAATAGGAATCCCCAGTGTTAGTGTATGACCTCCGTTTTGTGTGATCCAGGCACTTACTGCACTCCTTTTTTCCTCCAGACCAGTATTCAATTGCAGCACAACCTGCGCAGAGTTTTTTGCATTTCTCAGGTGTAAGACTGGGTCCCCTCGTAATATATCTTCGATTATTACTTCCACACCATTGGGGTGTATATTCCACCCACCGGGCTATAAAGATGAAGGGATCAATCAATCCGTCAATCGATCAATTTATTAATGTTAATAGTTGAGATTAGCTGGTTGTCGTTCAAGTGACAGACCATTAGGAAATTTAAAGGGCTCGGGTGGTACCGTTTCAGCTTAAATGTTTTAATGTTCGCACTTTTCCCCCTTTTTGGCTTTAGCTGTTGTAAATTTTTTTCTTACCTCTTCCGGTTGTATACATTTTTTACATATACTCATTTTTTAATGTATGGATTTTTTGGTTTTTCTCTACCCTCCCCTTTCACTTTTCTGATGGTCCGTCCCCTTTAGTATCTGAGCCAAAAGCTCATGTCTTATAAAATTTAAAAAGGAGCAGTAATTGGAGTCAAGTATATTAAGAACGTAAAAATGATTATAAAATACATATTAAATTTAATTAATAAATCCTTTCCCCAATAAACAGCGTTCAGCGTTGGAGACGTAAGATTGCATCCGGGAAAGAGGTTTTTATTAGATTAAGCACTTGTCTATCATCTTAATCTTTTTCAAGCCTTGCGGACATTTTACTACGTGGTTAAATGTTTTTCTGGCAAAAACGAGGATCTCAATGGGTTAGTAGCTTTCATGAGGGTTGACGGTAATGTTTTTCTAATTTTGACAGTTGACGGTTACATTTTAGAGCTTTTGGCGGTTGACGGTTATTAATTCAGTGGAAATTTAGTTCAAGAGTTTTAATAAGTCAAGAGTGATACGAAAATATTACCTTCAGTATTCAATATTATTAACTGTTGAGTTATGCAGGTTGTCTTGGCCTTTAACTTATGAACTCTTAAAATATTGTCAGATAAACGCAAATCTAAAGTCTTGTAATGTCTAGAGAGAATGTGTTTGCCAGCATGGTGACTGTTTTTTTTCCAGTTTCGAGATTCTTCAGGAGCCTGAAGTCCGTGAAGATAAACTGAAATAGTAATATTTGAAATAGCTTAAAACTTCTTTGACGGTTAACACAATTAATCTGCATTTTACGCTGTTTGCCAGCTGACGGTATAATAACCCCATTGAGTCTCTTAGATTTAGCCCATTGCTTGGTTATAAGTAGAACCTAGTCCCCCTGTACGATTTTTGAAACTTTAATTAATACTTTACGTAGCTTTGGCCGAAGTTCTAATACTGAGTATTGTGTACTTACGTATATGCACTTCAACAACAGATGTTGCCTGTATAGAACGCTGAGCGTTTTTTGCTACGCAAGTATATGAACCTGCATCTTGTGAATTAATGTTGCGTAAAAGTAAACTTCCGTTGCGATGAATTACATGGTTTCCCGGTAGAAGATTTCCCACTCTTTTCCAAATGATCACTGTTGAACCTTGAGCTTTACAGTTCAGCATCAAATTGCTGGATTTCTTAGCTGTAATTTTCAGTGGAGGGGAAATGGTAAATCTAAGTCTTTCAATCACCATCAATATGGCGGCAGCAGTTTCCTGACGCAGGAGATTCTTTGCTGAACATTCGTAAGCCCCGCTATCTGATTTAGCCACACCCACTATGGTCAGATTCCCATCAACCACTCTTGTCTTCCCTTTGGGCAAGTGACTCAATGCTCTTCGCCACGTGATTTTGGGAGTCGGCCGACCACTAGCTTTACACTGTAGGATCGCGTTTTGCCCTTCTTCGACGATGATAGAGAAGGGTTTATGAGTGATCTTGGCACCAACTGGAAAAAAGAAGAAGGATAATGTAATTCGAGTTGAGTTGACGCCAAGTATGTATCGTATCTCTGAATTCAAGCTCGGCAGTTCATTCGATTTTCTTTAGATAAAATGAATGCCCTTAAGATTTTTGTTTGACTAAAAACACGCTTAAAAAACGCCCTAAATCAGGAAGCTTTAGTGTCGTTGGTTATGTACAAACCTGAACCAGGTTTTGTAAGTTGTCTCCATAAAACTGCACTCTTCATCAATTCTGATGTCCTCCCTAAATACTTAGTCGAACAGCAGAGATCTTTCAGGGCCGGTCATTGGTGTTTGAATGATACTACAAGAAAACAGTGAATGAGACAAGCTGTTTTGCGCAATAAATTTTCGCCCTTTAAAAATAGTCTTCAGCAAGTTCGAAACAAAAATCAATATTGTTGACAAGTTTGGTTGAAGCTGAACACACAAAACGACTTGAACAAGCGGTCCTGTAATATAGAGTCAGAATTGAATTATAAATTGAGCTTCTTCATATGCTATCATGCTATATAGCACTACCTTTATTGGCCTGAATACATGCACTTAAAAGCGTGCTTGCCAAGAAAAGGAAAAAGAAATATAACGTTGTGTGAGCCGCACTTCAGGGGCACCCAACGAGAATATAGTTCAAAACCACTTAAACATAGCATTGTTAAACGTATTTTAGTATTTAAACGGTAGATATAGGCATATTTTTATCACCTAAAAATTTTTCATCTGTTCGGATTTCCTAGCTGAAAGTCTAGTAATCCGAAAATTATAGGGATCAAAACTTACCTTTCCGAAAATTTCAGCCAGAAAAAAGGCTCCTGAAAATTCTACGCGGCCTTTTAAAGGTAAAAATCCGTTAAAAATGGGCAATTACACCCTTTTTTAGATGTTCGAAAATCCTAGGAAAGGCATGCAAGCAAGAAATTTTACAACAAATGCTCCGAAAATTCTAGATCTCGAATCGTCTTCCGAACAGATATTTTCCGAAAATTGTCGTTGCATGGGGCCCCCCTGGCACTTGCAGAGACAGTTTGTGAACAATTTATTATGTTAAAATATTCAAAAAATTTCAATGCATTTAATTAACTACACAACGAAGAATTAAGCCAGCTTTTTTTTTGTTGCCGACCTGCGCTCTCTTTGTTAAGATGCTTTTGCCAGAAGTCAATGTATTTACTCGTAATAAACTAATTTTTAGCATGATTTTAACCTTTGATAACACGCACATACGACAGGCTTATAAATAATTGAATTAAGACAAGTTAAAGCTAAGTAGGCTTTTTCATGTACCTTGCACAGTTAACGCTGCGGATGATGTAATAACGCCAAGTATATTTCTTGCCTTACAAGTGTAGAGTCCGCCATCTTGTGACGTCACATCTCTAATAATTAATCCACCACGTGATTCGACGATTCGTTTATCGGAGAGAAGACTGGAGTTTTGTTTCAGCCACGTGACCTGTGGTTGTGGATTTCCTTTAACCTCACACTGCAATGTGGCTATACCAGTTTCGTTTACAACCATAGGCACTGGAGGTGACACAATAGAAGGAGCTGAGATGGATTCACCAGGATCGCCCTTGGGTCCTTGAGGGCCCTGATCGCCTTTAGGTCCAGGAGGCCCCTGATCTCCTTGAGTACCTTTCTTTCCTTTAGGTCCTTGGGGTCCACGCGGTCCGGGAGGACCATGCTTACCTGGGGCACCAGGCCTTCCTCGTCTTCCCCTTATTCCTCTCGGACAGTTTACCTTACAGGCCAGGCTACTCAGGGCCAGCTGGACTTCTCTTTTGATGTCGTCACGACTGACAATTAGACTTGTGTTTGATTTCTTGTTTTTATTTTTTGAGCTGCGTTTGTAGCGACCGTGCGTTTCTGCAATTAAATTATAAACACAATTGGTGATAAAACCAAATTTTAGAAGAATTCTGGCCTTCTTCTCTTGTGAGTTAAAATATCACTCCATATATTTTGCAGGTTTTATCCCAGTTTCTTCAGTTGAAGCATCACTGCCGCACTCTTTGTTATGTGCATTACTGTATTGCTATTTTCAAATACAGGTCCATCCTGGGAATAGCGTAACGCGCGTGTCCATTTTCTCTTTTTTAATGAATAACTAATGGTTTGTAAAGAATTTTGGTTAGAGTAACATATATTTTGACTCCATCTCGGCTTTCGACCTGTAGCAGGGCAGAAGATATCCTTATTCTTTCAGACAAAGGGGAGGTTTTTCTGTACAAAACTACCACGTGTTGCGGCTACATATTTTGCTATCATAGCGGACGTAATGTTACACATCTGTTGTTGTCGCGACGACGTGTTGACGGAAGAAAAGAAGAGAAAACGGAGGTTTTCAAATAAATGCCATGATGTACATCCTACGTCATACAGCGCATGCCCTATCAGCGTTGCTATCGTATTTGGACTTTCGTTTGGACTGGCGAAAAACGATCCATTACACTACCTCTGGACTCTTTTTTTTATTCAAGTAAAGAAAAAATCTCCGTTTTCAAAAATATTAGGATACGTGTGGACGAGTCTCTTGCTGGTGTAAGGAAATATACCATACCCTGTGACCTCATGTAGCCGAACGCCTCTATCATCTCTTCTTTCACTTCCTGTCAGCATTTTAGCTAAAGAGGAAAGTTTCACTATAGCACGTGCTACCCCCACAGCTGAAACTTCCCTCTCGATAATGTAATATTAAACATCCAATTTTTGCGTATTTTGAAATAGAAAGAATATTATGCCCTTAGACCGTTCACAGTCCTCTATTTTTCCGGAAGATCATCGAGATTGAGCGCTTTGCGTTACGGGCTGCCATCTTGGATGAGTGTCAGAACTACTTAGGGGGCGGGGGCGGTTTAGGAGGAGGCGAGAAAAATAGAGGGACTGTAATAACATCACTGCAGCTCGCGTTCAGAGGGCGTGACAGGAATTTCACGCCTTTTACCATTCATTAATTAAGAAACTCCGCTGGTGATGAAAAACAAGCCAGACACATTTAGTATTGATTACGCGTGTTTACAAATATCTCCTTTCGAAACAGTGATTTTATAATGTTTCTAGGCCATTCCTCGAAATAAAATCAGCAAACATACTCAAGAAAACATTTTTCTAATCAAAATATCAAAAATCCTTCGTGTGTTTGCGCAGGATGTGCCTTATGGTATGGAAGCGTACGTTTTATGGAAACGTCGACTTGTCAACGACTTGTCAGTGTCGGCAACTTAAACTAAACCCGTTGTCAACGCAAATTAACATTCATTGTCTAACGACCAATCAAACGCCCGCGTTGCTGGTACAACGCGCTCCGTGAACGCCAGCTGCAGTGATGTTATTACAGTCCCTCTATTTTTCTCGTCCCCCCCCCCCCCCCCCCCNATTTTAATGCCTTATTCACATCAAAAATAAAAAACATGTTAAAGTTTTTATGTACACAGCTTCGGTATATGACTGTTAAAGTATAGTTTCACATTATTTATATAAGATGCCGCTGCTCTGATTTTTGTCCAGTATTTATAACTAAACTCGCTCATTACGGAATTAAGCCGCACATAAGCTGCTTTATTCCCGCTTCGCGGTGTTGTTCAGTTCTACTTTTCACCTTTGTAAATTCAGTAAACATGTTATCTTGCCGTTTAAGTGGGGATTCATTCAGCAACCAACGTAAGAAACCTGGCACTCACCTTTATTTGAGTAGCCGTGTGGCGGGAAAGCAATCAGCTCGTTATTTCCAGTTTGGCTTGGCGCAACATTTCCTTCTCTGTGGTGAGTCAGGACTTGAAGCATTTTTCGATGAGCGTGAAGTTCGACCTCAACCTGAACCAGTGCCACGAAACAAACAATGGAGAGAACTATTGACGAAAAGGCTAGAGTGATGGAGACCGAACGCGTCTTTGACGTCCCCATCAGTCAGCTTAAGAGCGTTGGTATTTGAAACAAACGAATCAGTTGAAACTTGAAGCAATTCGAAGGCTGCCGTAACTCGACTTTTGCAATTTTCGAGTCTAATACCTTCAGTAGTTATTTCTTTCTGTGAAGTGTCCTATATAACGACATCATTAATAACCCGTAACTCTCAGAAACCTGACCTCCGCTTCGCTTAACATTTCCGCTTTTTCTGGCTGTTAACCAAAGTTTTAATGGGCCTGAAAGTTAAGGAGAGCTATTAAATAACCGGAAACTCAGTAGTCTTTAGATTATAGTAATAACTGCAAAGTAGGGAAGGGCGTGAGACAGAGAGGGGTTATAAGGCAAGGGGAGGGGGAGTGAGAGCCGGACCAACGTGGGGTCTTAAAATAACTGAGCATATTGCGGTACATCAGTCGGGGCAGGAACGCGTGACGAACCGCTAAGAACGTCATACGGGGGAGGCTAATTGTACATTCCTTGTGGAACGTGAAAGAATCCTCGCTGCTGTTCATGATCGAAGGGTACGTAGAGGACTTAGAGCCCTTTAGAGTGGTCAACCTTAAAAACATGCCTGGATGCGTGTATATTCTGTGCGGGGGTCCTCATCAGCATTTACCAACTCTGATCTTGAAGGTCAGGACATTTCAGGCAATCTTCCAAAGCATAATTTTCTAAAAATGTCGGGATGCTTTTAGTGTCAAAATGAAATCTCCCTCTCGAGGGAGTAAGTCGGTGCCGTAATAGACCTTTGTCTCGTGGCGGCCATTTTATCTCAAGAGATTTAAAAAGCTTTCGTTATGCCCGGTTAGCCTCGTAGAGAGAACGAGGCTAGCCGGGCATAAACAAAGCTTTTTAAATCTCTTGAGACAAAATGGCCGCCACGTGACAAAGGTCTATATGATGATCTTGATTCTTTGTCAACTCCGGCAATGACAACATCACCTCTTCTTTGGTGTTAACCTTCGATCAGGCGGGAGGGGCGGGGCCTGGGGCGGGGGGACAGAAAGGGAAGAACGACCGTCTGATTGCAGATTATTTCGTTATTGGTTTGAGCACGGGAGATCAAGAAATATAGCCAAGCTATTGTTTATATAATAAAGGATTAAATTAACTGCAAAAACCGTGGACGAAGATCCTGCTAGTTGTAAACGTTGGATCTCTAGAGAAGAGATCAAATCAGCCAAAACATAAAGAACAAGAACGAGAAGTCCGAAGACTACAGCAAAGCTGATTTAAAACAACGCGTGTTGTTTTTTAAATGTTCTATTGTTTATAGTTTATTTCGTAAGCTGCAGGTAGTCCAGTAGTCTTTGCTTCTTTCAGTGTTCATTTAGACCAAAACTTAAACAAAAACTCGAAGATTTAGAGCTCTTGAAGTTTCGAAATACGATCAGTTTTAAATAGACATGAATGAGATTATTTCTAGTTGGATAAGGAAAGGCTGGAAAGGAGGCACTGACCAACTCGCATTTCAGTGGCCCGCGCCGTTTCCCGTTCTTGCTGCGTTATCCTCAATCTATAACCAAAACTGAAGAAGCACGCAGTAATAGAACTGTTGGTTGAAGAGCAAAGTATTATTTGCAACATTTAACTGTTTACAATTTATCTGCATACCTTCTTATGGAAAATTCACGCTCTATGAAATTAAGGTTTTGGAAATTAACGCGACTTAGATTAACGCGAAATTATTGGTAAACGATTTTCGAATTAAGGAAATTAACGCGGAAGAGGGGGCAACATTTGAAGATAAAGGAAATTGACGCGACTTTTATAAAGAAACAAAACTTGTTGAGACAACAGGATTAAAGTTAAACTTGAAATCCGAAATGGATACTTTGTTTTTGGCTTGGCTCTTTCCTTAAACGTACGAAGGGTTTACGGGAAGAAATCAGGCCACTCAAGTTCTGCACAGTTTCTCTGTAACTGGCGGACCTCCACCCTGATAAAAATACTCCTCTTTCTTAGGTGTCAAGAATGTCAAAAGGTATTGAGAAATTGGGGTCAAAATAATGGAAATTAAGGTCATGGAAATTACCTCTACACTTATATAATTAACGGCACGGAAATTCGCGGTTAATTTCATAGAGCGTTAATTTTCTATAATAAGGTACTATCATTTTTTGAAACAAAAATTGGTAAGGTATCCAAACTTTTACAGAAATCACTTAGAATTCACTTGCCAGGCCATAACCTTTTAAGTTACCGTAATGTATGATATCCTGGGTAGGTGAAGAGATCCGGCATTGAAGCCGGCTGCTCGTTACCCATACTGACACAATCTACCGATCCATATAACTAATTATAAACAAAAACAACTGTTTGTCTTGAAAAGCAAAGTTTTCTTTGCAAAATTTAGCTGCATATGATTAATTTAGCCGCATAACCCTGTCACTGTTTTTTTTTTTGGAAAACAAGAAATGCCTATGTGTCCAAAACTATTCACAGAAATCAGTTCATGCCTGCCCATAACACTTGAGCTTTCCTAATGTATGGTATCCTTCCACAGTTGATTTATCAAAGTCTTCCAGTCTGATCTTTGTCACAGGAAGAGCAGACTTATCTGTCAGCAGACCGCTGTCCTCTCTCCAGCCGCTGCCACCGTTGTAACAATTACACTTTTGCCCATTTAAGCAAGAGTTTGTTACCCCGCATGCGCACGTGTTGGCTGATCCATCAGCGCCTCCCCAGTAGTTCATTTTCCTTCCATCACGTGACACCCACCAGGCAACTGACTCTTGCACAAAGGCAACATCATTTTTGCACTCAAATTTAATAAACTGTTCACAGGTTTGTGAGACTCGAGTGAGTGCCGCCAATTGAGCTGTGCTAACTGCAGTGTAAGATACATCTTTTCTGTGACAACAGTAACATCCAGGAGTCACACCACACCCAGGGATATGGACAACATGAGTTCTACTCTCGCTGTCGTGACTTATGACTGTCACGCCAACTCCTCCCTTGTCACTCATATCACAATACACACTAAAAGGTGCCACGCCTCCTTTGCCATCAGGGTCAATAATATAATTACCTGATGAACTTCCACTGCGACCTGTCTTAAGACTGCTGCAAGACTTAAGTGTAATGTTCACCTTGACAACAGATGTCGCAGTTACTGAACGCAGAGAGTTTTTTGCCACGCACGTATAGGATCCTGCATCATTTGGTGAAATGTTCCTAAGAAGTAAAGTACCGTTTGGATACAAAATATGATTTTGTGGAAGATGTTTTCCCACTCTAATCCAGTCAACGTCTATTGCACCTTGAGCTTCACAGTGCAACATCAACTTCCAAGACACCGAGGTGACAGCTTTAATGGGTGGAGTCAGGGTAAATTTAAGTCTGTCGATCACGGTCACCTGTGCGATTGCAGTGTCATGTCCAAGGAGATTCTTTGCAGTACACGCATACGTCCCGCCATCTGCTTTTCCTATTTTGAGTATTGTAAGGCTCCCATTTTCCACTGCCGTTTTCTTCTTTGGTACCCGGCTAAACGCTTTTTGCCACGTGACAGTCGGTATAGGTACACCACTAGTCTTACACTGCAAGGTGACGCTCTCTCCTTCTTCAACCATTACAGACAACGGCCTTTGAATAATTAAGGCGCCCACTGCATTAAAAAAAACAAGAGTTTTGAACAGCTTATCACCCTATTTCCTTTGTCTTTCTCTACTTAAGACATCCTTCACTGAGAGTTTAACTCCTACACCATTTGAATTCCCCTATGTTAAGAAAATACTTATCTCTTCTTCGTAGAGGTTTCTATAAGTAAGAAAAAAGATTTATTTATCAAGTATTCAAAAGTGAATTATCTAGGGGTGAAGGAAAAGGCAAAAGACGTTTTTCCTTCACTTACCTTCTGCCGCGCCTTCTCGCAGTCTAGTGCTTACAGTACGCTGCTTGCATTACTACGGTTGCATGGTACGGAGTCAACCCACACGCGCAGCTTATCGCAAGTGCGATAAGGAACAGACGATTAGAAAAGTTATAGAAAGGTGGGAGGGGAGCGGAAAACAGAAAAATTTATTCCTGTAAGGGAAAATTTACTAACGAAACAAGGGATGGATATTCTAATGAAAAAATGCAGTGGAGCCTCTTCTCTGGGCACCTCTATTCATGGGACACCTCCATTCAACAACAACAACAACACAAGCTTTATTTTATTGTTATTCAAATTGATGTGATAGGAACCCTGAGTAAGCACCTCGTCGGCCAACATATAAGGTCCCAGGGATAAGTTAATAATGATTTCTGTATGTTTTCTTAATTAGCTGGTTAATTATTTACCAGCTCTAGCCCAACCTCCACTCACGGGACACCTCTATTCAAGGAACGCTTGCCTCGGTCCGAAGGGTGTCTCCTGAATAGAGATTCCACCGTATTCATGCAGCTCAAAAACTTCTCACCACCGCCATAACTTTTTTAATGGTCGGCTCCTAAAGCGGCGACGAGCATCTGCACTATCCTTATGACTATAACGTGACATAGTAGATGAGAGGTAGCTCTCCATAAGACCAATACATGGACAACATTATGTGTTGGCAGTTTGTCAGTAAGAACATTACGTAGGAAGTTTTGCCGATCGAGCTTTTACATTGGTAAAATTGCTACAGCTTGCGGTTTGGCTCGAATGTCCGTAACGCCACAGCGTGGAATAACAGTAAGCAATTTGGTTGAAAATTTTTATTGCTCTTAATGAAGCCATGGATTGTTCCCCAAACACCTCCCCCCCCCCCCCCCCCCCCCACCCCCCCGCCCTCGAATTATTACCTTGGACAGTTAACTTGGCCGATAATGTCGCCACGCCAAGAATGTTACTTGCTTTGCACGTATATACTCCGCCATCCCTAGATGCCACATCTTGAATCATGAGTCCACCACTTGTTTGCACAATTCTTTTACCTACGGGAAGACTGGAATTTTGCTTTTGCCACGTTACCCGAGGTGTTGGATTTCCTTTGACCTTACACTGCAGTGATGCTATACCAGTTTCGTTT